TACGACACTCTAACACGACAATACAACCCATCAATATTCTCCGTTGCTGCAAACGGCACCGCCTAAAACAACAAGACCTCCGGAAGGGCCTCAACTGCTTCTTAGTTGATCGCTCAAGGAGTCACCGATCAAACGAAAATGCTCCCACCAAGATAGATGGGTTGTGTCGTCAACGTTTAGCATACACCGATTTAGTTGCTTTTTTACCCTACCTCACCAACTTGCGTGATACCAACCGATTCACTCGGAGTCCTCTAGTATTCAAAATTGTCATTTCATTTTTCAAAAAATCTGATAATTTTTCTAATCTCATCCACGTACTCACCGGAAAGGGGCAATTCAATGCCGTTACCCAGCCGAACGAGCCAACCATAATAGTAACCGCCACCCCCACCGCGAGCACTAATGCAATTATCGCACCCAACACGCGGACAATCTCAGGCAAGGGGGAAAGGAAAGGGGGAGGCGTACGAGCTCTCAGGTACCTAACGATAATAATAATCTTTAAACACATCACCCTTTCGTGGGAAAATATACATATTGCCAACTACGTGTCGGTGACAGTTTAAAAACTTCTAGGAAATTCTGGGAAGCTTTTGCTGGTTTCCGGAAAATTTTTGAAGAAACTCCTGAGCTCAGCTAAGGAAAGCGAACATATATCGCCCTCAACCAGTGGTGACCATCACCACTGAGGAGAATAAAATATGAAAATTCTGAGAGGAAATTTTGGCAGATTCTCATTGATCTCCCCAAGTCGTATTCAAACGTCCACCATCACTAATGCAACCACACCAACCACAACTATTCTCCCCCATCTCACTGTCGCTCCTGCTTGAGAATAGCACCAAAACTCCTATCCGTTGAAACCGGCACTCCACCCTTGCCAACCAGCCGCCCTCTTCCACCGATCTCCCCATCACCCGCTGCACTCCCCTCCGCGTCCGAATTGAAATCTGACTCTCCTACAGTAAAACAAAATTCCCTTAAAATTCACCGTCACTGCGCCACAAAATTACCTCCATCTGATTTGAAAGTGTCAGCTCTAAATCTCGGCGGCTGATTGCCTCCCTGCTCGATCGGCCCCGCACCCAGATACTCTCCATCGTAAAAAGACTCGTCCGAGGCGCCATTCTCGCCACCTGCCATCAACATTATGAGCTTTCCGGAATCATAAACTTCTCCCTATATCACTTTTCTCACGGTGAATATCACTACGGTCGAATAATTGCTAATTCCCGTAAAAATATACAACAAAAATCCACAAAATTCATAATACATAATTTTGTGGCGCGCGAAACTCATTTTTATCACAACAAAGGTGATCAACTAGCAATCAGTGACATCATAAAAATGCTATGATAATTATCACCACACCCTCGAATAGAACCTCCGACCTCTCCCACACCAACCCGTCGCCCTATCCACTACACCAATACTACCCGTATTGGCCTCCACCACACCACCCGCCGCCGCATCCTCAACCACCTCAACCGCTTCCTTCCCCTTCTCTTCATCAACCATCTGCTGACCTCTCTCACTGCTACTAGCTGTGCTCGACGGCAACTGCGACCTCGCCTCTCCACCACTCTGCGCCCAACTAAAATACATACCACTCCATCACTACTTCTCCAACACCATCAGTGGCATCGAACAAAATGTCAAACCGAATCCTTTGGTAAAATCAAGTTAAAATTAACGACACGAAAAAATATTCAATTATAATTTTATGTCTTGAGTTTCTTTCGAATCTCAACGAATTTTTTCCCCAACATTTTCCGAAATTTTCAGAAATGTCCAAAAAATGTCGAACCAAGCGCTTCGGCAAAATCACGCAAAATCTTGCGATGCGGAAATAATAAAAAACTGCTCAACAGTTCAAATATTCCTTTCGAATTTTCCGTGATTTTTTCGGAAAATTTTTCGGAAAATTTTCCGGAAATTTTCCGTGATTTTTTTCCGAAAAATTTCTACCGAAAACTCTCACTACACCTCCCCTTTCCTATTACCTTCTAGGGCTGCTACCCAGCATCCCCGGTCTACTCCTACGTGGTGTGCTGGGGTGCAAAGGCGGCCTACTTCGAGGACTTCTCTGCACCAATGGAGGAGGTACCCCTACCAATGCAAGGTAATATATATATTATCAACTACAAGTGGTGGTGAAATTTGCGGAAATTTCTCAGAAAATTCTACTTGCTTTTTGTACGCCCCTACCCTAGTTCGTATATAAACTCCCTTAACCAGTGAGACTACTCCTGAGCTCAGCTGAGGGAAGCGAACATATATTCCAATAACATGAAAATTTCTACCAAATTTTACACTTCTACCCGAACTCGTACATATTCAGAGCTCATATATTCTCACGCCCACTAAAAACCACCCTTCCCCTCTACTACGTGGATCCACCACTGGGGAGTGACCAGTAGGCGTATGAACAACTCGTGTCCGATGCCCTCCAATATGATGCGGAGTCGATATTTCTCCGTCGGTTAAGCCGCCACGCCGTCCATCGGAAGACCCAGGTTCCATCCTATGTCAATACAAAAGCGAAACTCTGTGAAAATCATCATCACCCATTTACCTTTGAGAAATAACCTCCCCACGATTTCATAACATTAACGAAAAATGTTCCTAATGTGATGATTACATTCACATCGGGGAAACTGATTGAAGAATTTGTTCCTTATCATACGTGGCTAGGGGAAATAATAGCTTACAACATCCTATAACCACATAAATTTTTTCTCTCAAAACTTCTCCTCGAAACGGTGGAGGAAATACGAAATTTACAACACCGCCAAAAATGCCAAACTACAATTTACTTTCTACTGACCGTAATACATACAACTCCCATCATCCTCATGATGACAATAATCATGAAATATTTCTGAAAAAAATCGCAAAATTTCAGGAAAAAATCCCCTCGATGAGAAATTCCGAAAAATATTTCAAATTCTCCCAAAAACCATATCCCCACCACCATCCAAAAAACCTAAAAAACAAAACAAAAAACGCTCCGCTCCGCTCCCATGAATTCCTCACTCCAACGAAACACCTTTTCCTCTCAATCGACCAATCGTCTTCGGCAACTCCCGAAATGCGTTTTCCCACAGAAATCGCAAATAAAGTAAATTCAACAAATATTACCAATAATATTAGTATTATCAACATAGACTAACCGCAAAGATATGCGCACAGCGAAGATTTTTCCACCCCTACTCCTCTGAAAGCTGTCGCTCTGCATGGTGATGATCCCCGCTATTTCCATGAGGACCCGCACCTTTCCAAACCTGACGGAAAAAAATCGGCAAAAAACGCAAAAATCCATCAAACCTTCGGAATAATTTCGTGGCGCGCGGTAATTTTCCAAAAACAAACCAAAATAATCATTTTTCCCTCACATGATTTCACGTGCCCTCCAAATTTTTCATCACCAAAAGGTCCCCGGTTCGATTCCCACACCCGTCATTTCTCCCAATATTACCGAAAACCAGTCAACTTCTGTGCTTGGTGGGCACGGCGGTATGTCACGAATATCATCAACTCGTAGACCCACCCGCAAGGAGTTCTCATCACCAGTCAAGGCACGCTCTTGCCAGTTCGACCCAA